CGGAATAGGAATGCAATATTATTAACCTCAGTGACAACAGATGCTTGTGATTCGCCAGTGTATTTTCAGCACTCGCCTTTTACTTCTTCGCGTGTGTGCAAACATTCAGATCGTTCCCTTATACGATCCATCTCGTGCGACTTGTCTTCCACTGATAACTCCCCCTTCGTTAGTGTTTACAGGGACTTGAACTATGCCAACTGTTAGATGTGCAGTCTTACCTGTGTTAGAGGCTGTTCAGCTTTCTGTGCAGAACGTCTTCGCGAGTCACACAAAACGCACCACACTGGTTCATTGTATGCGACTAATCTGTGTCGATGATGTTGCTTCCTCTTCTGGTGCTTGATCCGACGATGGAATAGTCGAACTTGACGGGTTTTCGCTCTACCACCTCAGCCAAATTATGCGCTAGTGTAGCATAGAGTAATATGGGTATTGTAGTAGGACTTGAATTGGAGCGCCGCCTCTGGAATCCTCTCTGTTGTTGTAGGTGGTTACGACGATATTTTACTCCATGCTCAAAATTTACTTCAAGGTGCGATGGCCTTGTTGGTGAATGCCATCGATTGTCCAAAGAAGTGCAAATTATGGGCGATGCCAAATAATAAGTTATGAAGACTCAGCACTTTATTCTTAACGAAACAAGCCTGCTGAACTTCTGCAGGTGGGTGAGGTAAAACGTCCAATTGTTTGGCGTAGTCACGGCTAATAGGCTGCACCAACAGTGCATATTTTAAAAAAGGTTTTCCAACATTACATCAAGGGGTTAAAAGAGCATATCTTGTCGACTACCTTTGGGCATTCAGACTGGTAAGGACAGGGCTGGCAGAACTGAATTTAGGAAAACTTCGACGTTCACCAGTTTGCAGAAACAAATTATAAGATAGAGCGCGAAGATGAGGGAGAAGAAAAGGAAAAAGAAAAAGAAACAAAATTCTTTACGTCTGGTTGCAGAGATCAGGGTCACACCTCGTGATTAGCAGCCAGTCATCGATTTCTGTATCTTTTTTGGAAGAAGCGAGGTTCACAGACGCTGCTACCAGTGTGATTCCCCCCACTTTGCTCGCTAAATCCTTTTATTTTATTGTACGTAACCGAAGGGATACGAGCTGAAAGAGAAATCGGATATAGGTAGAGGTTTGTCTGTAAAAGTCACGAGGCTTTCCCTCCAGTTCCTCATTCATGGCGTCCGAACGTACTATCCCCCTCTACCCTACAAGAGACAAATTAAATAACCCGTTTTTTAATATTGTAGGCTTCTGTGATCTTCCGATAAACATACGGCATTTATTGGCGCACGAGTTTGTAGGGTAGGAAATAGCATGCTTCCATTCGTACTTTCTTAGACCCTTAAGCGCTTTAGGCTTCACATTAGTTCCCTATTTTACCTCACAATTTAGCCACGTGTCTGTTTGAGATCACATTAATCTGACACAGTGCAGTTATTAACTTAATCTTATTAATTATAGGTCCGTTTGTCCTTTTGGGTAATGCTCAAACTAAGAATAATTGAAATTATGGTGCGAATTCTTGAGCAATGCCTCTACCTGACTACTCTGTTGTTACTGTGTATTGTTAGCACAGGACGGTACAAATGGTTGTTCAGAAAATAACTCTTTATCAAACGTCTGTGTGCTTCCAGTTAAACGCATATCCTCATTGTCCTTTTTATTCGTCTCCAAACTCAACTGAACAATCGAGACTTCCCACTAATAGATGATTGATTAAAGGCTGACCAGCCAATAAGAGATTGGTTCTCTTTCCACGGATTGGTCGATTGTGCAGAGGATATTGCTCAATCATATGTATTAATTTGTAGTAAAAATAGGCATAAATTCATCCAGCATGGAAGAGTCAGAGTGATCTTAACTATTTCCCGTTTGCCTGTATTTGCGCAGTGAAGGTTTTAAAGAGTCCGACATGGAAGCAAACGACTGTACTACGACTGCTTCATATTTGCAGTTGGCGTGCCAGAAATCCTATTCGTCCTTCCCACGGTGCAGTGTACTTGGTTGACACCATGGCGAAGTTATTAAATTTGCGGTCCTAGCCACTGTCATCTCACTTCTCCTACCTTCCACTGGTCACTTTTAACTGTAACAAGACAGCGCTGCCAGGCATAGGGGTGAACCACCAAGGGAATAGGGAATACGAGGCGGCATCTCTCGTCTTGCCCCAATTGTCCTCTCCCCTTCCAGAATGAGAATTTCTGTGCAAGCAAGTGAGTTTTCCCCAATGATTAGATGGTTTAAATTGATAGATCACGATCTCAGTCTCGAGGTGAGATGTCCACTGGGGATGAGGGAATGTCGTCTCGTCCTGGAGACGTGGCAGTCCTTTTGCAGCTAGCAGTACCCGTTGACAGACAATTTGGAAGGTATGATTCGAGTCACAAATAGAGAGGCGATGAGAGAGGTCCTCGTCGTCATTGGTTGCTAACGGCGCCTCGAAATGCAAGCGAACACGGATGTGACTTTCGAAAATTCAGACTTTTGTTGTTGATTCCGAAGACTCCTGCTGAGCAACCTTCACCGATGAGGAATTCATAAAGAGAACTTCAAGATTATGCTAAATTCGACATCCAAATTGGATCCCATTGTCAATACAAGGGGATAAGGGAGTTAATGAGGTTTAATGCAGTGTACTAAATTAAAAAGAAGCAAAGTCAAGGCAAGTCAATGATAATTTTTATTAATTCCTAAACAGCTTTGGTTGGAGAGATAAAACAAAATAGAGGAGATAGGGTTGCACGCCTTCGTGGGGCAGACGGAAGCGTAAATGAGAAATCAGTAGTGGTGATGGTAATTATGCTGATAATGATGATGATGATGATTGGAACCGAGAATATGCTGGTCAGTAACCTTCACTGATCCGTAAATTCTACCTGTTTAAGCAAGAGTAAATGAAAAATGGGACTTTAGGTTCCAGTTCGTCACGATTAGAATGGATTAAACATTTTAACCTCCACGGATATGCGATTGATGTTTCGATAGGATGGTACAAAACCAGCTCTCTCCCTTGGCCGTATCTTCCGTCTTTACACGTCTTTTGTGCAAAGGACCTTGATAAAGCAACCAGTATACCAATACTTTTCTCCCTCCACGGCTCATCGCCATCCACCGTGATCCTCCACTCATAAAGGCCATAATTTTAAGTCAGACAAGCAAAAACACCCTCTTAGAAAGCCTTTAGGGCAAATGACCGATGCTTCACTCGCAACACCCTTCAAAAAGGAATCTTGCTACCATGCGCTGTGGAATGAAAAGCTTTTACTGTCTACTAGCTACACCTCTCCTACTGTTCGTCTGATATGTCACATCACTTATGATTTAGAAAGGCACACTCAAGAAGATAGCTTTCTGAACGCCACTAGGCATCTCCACTGCACCTGCCGTGATCTATTCATTGGGACTGTTAAATTCCCAGACTTAGTATACCTATCGCACGACAGTGAACTTCTACCAACACATTTAACCGGATGCGGCTCGACTTTTCCACATCCCACTAGTTCACTCTTGTCTACTTCTCATCTCACATCCGTTTATTTCACCACTTTGACCAAGTCCCTCCTCCACAATCTCATCTCTTCGCATAATTACATTTAAAGTAATTAACTGGAAGTGATCCATCAAAAAGTAGTTGCATTATAATTAGTGTGTATCGCCGAAACCCACATAAGAAACCAGTTGCTTATCTCTCTCACTCTGTCCCCAGCCCCTCTCTTCACCCACGTTGGGACGTGCACAATTACATCACTTCCTGATGCCACACACCAACTTTAAGGCAAGGTCTTACGGGCAATGTGTTAATGTCAAAAGTAGTCGTAGTGGCATCTAGCTCGGCCAATTTTGAATTCTTTGCATCACTACTGCTTGAAGCGTCATCGAGGGGCTTTTGCCGCAGACACCTCGGCATGACAGATTATTCGTTTAGACGACAAGGAAAATGGTGTCCACTCGGCATTGTCTCTTCCTTTAAATGAAGTTAATTGGAACTAGCAGTAAATTGGATGATCGACAATCCAGTAATGGACAATAGAGATTCACATTTAATAGGCTAGTGGCTCACCTCACTCTGAGGATCTTCAACAGGAGGCGAGAGTTGAGCGTTGCCCTCAGATCGGTAAAAAATTCGCGAAGCCTAAAATACGAAACGCACGGTGGATGCTGCTTACGTCAGAGACAAGTAGCATATCAACAGGTGTGGTCGAATAGGTGGAAAGAGTGGAAAAGCTGTTAAATAAATCGGTCTTTACATTATACATCAAACCGAAGTCCGCAACACAGTAGAAGGTGATGCATTAAATTGCTAGAAACATGAGACCTCCTAATCTCATAATTTCGTTCCTATAATTTTCCAAAACCGGTATAATTGTAGATCTTAGAATAAGAAATCCGCTTTTATTGTTTTGTAATTGTTATTGCCGAGAAGGTTCCCTTTTAAACTACCTTAGCTAAAATGTTGGCGTTGGTTGATAATATTTCTCCTCTCTTCAACAGCTCCGCATCACGTCTGGTGGCGCTAGACTAAACACATCCATTACCCACTAGAAGAAGGAAAGCAAGCTAAAATACATCCTTGAAGCGTTCATCAACCTCCGCGTCATCCCATCCCTTCGAGCGAATCTGATACGTTCAGAGTATATCCATAATCCTTCCCTGTGTCCTCCTGTCCCATGTACACGCTCGTATCCATCTATTCCACATGGATCCATTCATCCTGACGTAGTGATATAAAGAGTCTCCAGTATGTAATGCGTTCAATAGATGCCAAAACTTCCCGCATAATTTCCAAATGTTGATCCATTACCCAAGGATACCAAAACATCTCTGCCATCTCAAGTTGCATACCACATTCTGTCAAAGAGGTGACAAATCTCGGTGTATAACTACGAAATTTACTTGGGCCTTAAAGAAACGACCAGAACTTTACCAATATTTTAAACGCGGAAGTAGTTTCCGTGGATGTATTTAAAAACATTTTTCCTTTTCCCGTATTTGCATAAACTTGGGTAACTAAGTCCTGTCTAGTGTTAGAGTAAGGAGACAGTTCTATGAACTCTTACAAATGAAACACGAACTTTTAAAGACTACTCTCCCCGCCTACAGGATCTACGAACTTGTCATTCATGTCATCAATTGAGCGCCATTAAAGGCGTTCACTGATACACTCCATTCTCCTCAAACAAAGCACCTCGAATGGATGCGCAAAGTGATGGATTAAGGAGCTCCATGCCTTCAACTCACCAGACCAAACTGCACTGCCTCACCACCACCTGACATTGGAAGGGCGGTTTCCATGGGAAAGAAGCACTGTCCACCTTGCAGTGAAGTTGCTGCCGACATCATCATTGAGGACATCATCTCCTGCTGTTGATGGTGGAAGACGGCTTCGGCAAAGGATTCTGAGTACTGCTCTGTCGTTGGTGGTGGATAGCCCATCAATCCAGCTCCCGGTGGAACCGGCATCCAAGGCAGTGAGGGCTCCAGTTGGCCCAATGCCAAACGTCGATTCACCTGATCGATGACAGCCAAGTCCTCGTCATCGTCCATGGAGCGAATTTGAAGCTTGGAGGGGAACGGTGATGCCAGCATTGAGGTGCGTTGATAGAGGTTGTGGAAAGTGGAGGGAGAGTCATCGGTTTCGGTGGAGGGCAATTCAGTGGGCGAATCAGACATGGCTTCGGGACTCGGAGGACTGTTGGAGAGAGTTAATTCCGCAGGCGTCAATTTCAGATTTGGCCTGGAAATGGAAGCAGAATGGGGAGGTAGGGAGTCAGACACTTCACAGCGAGGAGACTGCACATATCTGTCCATCCACTACACCCATCAGAAAGCAGAAAGAGTTTCCCTCACCTTCAGTGAAAAATTTGCTGCTGGTGCTCCCTATCGTATTCACTCCAAACAACTATCCTTGGAAAAACTGTAAAATCAGTGCGTTTCCTAAATACTTCAAGAGAGCACACAAAGCTATTCTTGAATTTGGTTTATCTAAGAACTGCATTTGCCAGCATATCTAAAGATAGGACACGTGTACAAAGGACTTTAAAGCATTGTTATAGACGTGAAAACTTGAGGTTTTGATGAGAATTTAGCATCCGAAATGAGGAGAAGCGATTCTTACGGAGTGGGATGATTTGGGACAGAAGGTGAAAGTTGTTCCTGTACAACAGATGTGGATGCCTCAGGAAGTCGAGGACAAACGTTTGAGAGAGCAGCGACAGCTCTCTTCGAAATCACGCTGACCTTGGGCAACCAATCGTGGTAGAGCTGTAACGGAGCGATAAGGAGACCTTAAAGGAGGGTTATTTTTATGATCTGGGCCTATCAGCTCATAAGAACCAACCATAGCCTTTGTGACCCAAATTATATTGACATAGTCTTGCGTTGGGAGAACGCAACCAGTTCCACTTCCATACACTTTTAACCAAAGTTTTCACATACTAATGTGTCTTGAGATTCTAATCAGACCTGTAATCTATAACAACGGTGGGAGATATGGATCCCAGTGTTCAAAACTTCTTCGCTCCACAGTAGATGTGTGAATTAGTGGAGACGAACAGGACCGCATAGTGTGTCTGTATTTGTAGAAATTACTGCTGCATTTTCATTCGTGATGCCTTTTTGAAGCTGTGGGAGGAAGGCAAGAGATCCCCATACGGTTCGCAGACTTTTTATCAACCTGGTTGGGACACACTGACGCATTCCACTGTACTCTCTCCTCTGACTTCAAGGCAACATTAATGGGCAAAATTATCTAGTGGCGTTGCCGTAAACAGGTTGACTTTGTGACAGCCATGCCTATGAATCATTGCTTGTATCAGTGAATTTCCTTAGTAATCACAAGTTTTGAAGACTAACTATGGATTATAGCAACCAGTATGGCGATGAGTAGATATGGTGAACAAAGTATTTTGAAGGTAGTAGAACCTTTTCAAGAGTGCGGCCGCTGAGAGTGTGGAGTGCCTCACCTTGCGACGTGGACTAGTAAGGAAGTCGAGGTTAAACTTCCGCTCCACCACGTTTGCCTGCCTTCTGCGTCCACCGTGAGTAGTCGTAGAGATGGAGGTTGAGGTAGCGGAGGAGGAGGAAGGACTGGGGATGGAGATGGAGGAGGATGGTTCTGTCTCTCCTGAAGGAGTAGTGTCCATGGGGGTTGCCAAAGGAAGCGCCAACTCAGTAGTAGAAGGCACTTGTGTACTAGAATGCAACACATAAAGTGTCTCAAAGTTTAGCAGCATTCAGATGAAAAAGTACAACCACAGAAGTTTGAAACATCTCATTTCACAAAGGGATCGGTAGCAAACTTGCGGATGGAATGGCAAGTAATTATTCTAGGGTGCGACTCGGGAGGCACGTCAGCTTGAATGACATCGAGTCTCGACATTTCAGTCCGCTCCCGACTCCCACTTGAACAATTTTTTTGGGAAAACTTAAGCATTCCTTGTTTTTAAGTCTTTGCAAGATAAACTGAAACGATCCTTTATACTTTACCATATTGATTTTCACGCCAAACGTCAAGGACAGAAGACAGATGATTGAAGTTGAAGCGATTGACGTTTAAAGACAGCTCCCAACTAGAAAGCAATGAACCTGCTTGATTCCCTTTCTTTCAGACAGAAATATGGGTCAACTGCCTCGTCAATTGGCAATCCCACATTGAGAACCTTAAAATAAGTCTCCACAGCCTACTTTTTGCCATAAATGTGCCTAAAAAGATGGCAGTAAATGGAGAAGTAGGGGAAGGGGGTGGGAAAGAGAGGGTGGCAGAATTGGTGAGGTAGACGGAGACAATGGGGGCGAGGGGTAGACAAGTAGGTGGAGTGCCCTGATCGTCTAATTATAGATTTTGCCATAATGGGCGTACATTCAGAGGAAACGATTGTACCCCCTTTAATGCATTCTCTAAAACACATTAGAAGGCAAGTGGCTTACCTTCCATCTTCCACCCCAATTCCCATCATCCACCTCTCCTCTCACCCTCCCCCTCCCCCTCCCCCTCTCCCTCCCCTCACCACCACCACCAAAATCAATTTATGCCTACTTCACCCATAACTGCGTGTCCTTCCATTGTGCGATTGAGTTAGGGAAGAGAGGGGGGCAAGGGGACTTGAAAGCGAACATTCAATCAAGACTCGCGGAGGCACACCGTCAACTTCAACCCATCAAATTCAGACGACCCCACAGAAGGAATCGGAAAGTGCTCCCAACCACGGCGCCCATAAGACAGCCTGGAAAGTTAGGATGTTTGCATCAAGGTGGAACTTTTGACTTGCACTGATTGACTGCAAGAATGCGTGCCCACGCACCTGTAAGCGCAGTCCGTATGATGGGCAGAGATCTCGTCCTCGTGTTGGTACAAGCATCTCCAAGATGACCATTTCCTCGTCTTTCGGTAGGAGACTCTGACTTTGTGGTTTCCACCTCCTTCCCATAGCAACTACCCCACTCCCTCCACCTCAGAGGTCTGGTCTGTAGACAAATCTGTACGCAGGATGACTAGAATAGCAAATTCCCCACCTCAAAGCTACCCATGCGTTGTTTAGGCGTCGAAATTGGAGCATGGATGCAGTAGAGTCTTGCGGCTTTGTAATTAACCCGACCTTACTCATTATAAAGCTTCCCAAGTCTGACGATTTCGTTCAAACTCCTTCGATCAACCAATTGCGAGCACAAAGGAACTGTGAGCTGGCTACGCGAGGTCTTTGGCACCCATGCATACGCATGTCATAACACCTAATTTGCTCATATATATCACTCCCCATCGTCGTTAGTTCATCCACCTAGGGAGATTGAGGGAAGAAAGTGGAAATTGGATGAACTCGTGACTTGTAAGCACCGTGAAAGATGGTAGTGCAATTCGAGACTAATGGACGGATTGTGCTTCTGCATAAAAGTCACGAATAACCAAAACTGACTCAGAAGTTAGCGCATGCAACTCTGAGTGATAAACTACGCGTCTCCTAACACTGCGATTGGCTATTTTGAAAGCATCCGACATGCATCGATGTTCTCCTTCAGCCAATCAGACCTCGGCAGCTAAAGAGATAATCGATCAAAACCACTTTAATAGACAATTGGAAAGACAAACGGTATACTGTTTGGCATTTTTAAGTGCATGTTACATCTTGAGGTGAAATCAAATTTTCTCGCACTAGATAATGAAAGAATGCTCAGTTCATTATAGTTAATGAAACATAACCTTTAATCGCTTGGACTCAAGGTAGAGCCTCTTGGTTACTTAAAACGGGAAGGTGAGAGGCTTCACTTCGCACATGAACAATGATTTGCAGAACAGATTTTAGTCGCTTGATTGCTTCTCGATATCTTCAAAGAAAAGTAGGCTATGAAATTCCCCCATTTTCTGCAATTTGCTCATCTTGTTTGAGTGTTTGAGACAAGAAAATAAAGAGCTTTGCAAACTTGTTTTACCGCAAAAATGCGTTGACCTAATTCAAAGCCATTGGGTGGATTTGCGTTCCCGCGTAAAAAAGCTTTCGGAAAAAGTCATACAAACTACTTGTTTGTCTTTTCAAATGTAGAGGTGAAAGCGGACGCCTAAATGTCTAGAGGAATGATGCATCTCCCAAAAAGTCAAATAGCTACTTTAAAGGCATAAAGAATACATTGATTTTTCCCCTCTCCTCCCCCAATCAGTTTATCAAGTTACGGGGAGTTGTATTAAGACAATCCCATTTAAATTACTAAAAACTAACGAAATAGACGCCTTTATGAATTAAGTACAAAATGCATTGAACGTTAAAAGGCGAAATTATTGTAAATTGCTAAGTCCTCAAAACTGCTTCCCCAAATTCGAGACAAGCCAATAAACGGACACTTTCCTAGAGGGGAAAGAGAAGGTAAATCTGAAATATCTGCACATTTTGGCGAGTAATGCCGCATTTCCGACCACTGAAATCCAAAAACGCTTTTCCACCTCTCTTCAGACATTATAGGTTCAATCATAACATTCCCGAAAAAAAACCTGGTTCTTGGAACCCCAATTTTTAATCTATTTCACCTCAAGTGTCTTCAACCTGTCTATTCACCTAGTATCAGTCTCATGGAGAAGACTAAACTAGAGAGGAGCAATGAGAATTATACAGTTTCCGCTTTGCGAAATTCCCATCCATTGTTTGGCCCAGTTCATTGTTCTTTTACCTTACTTTGGAATCGGAGTGCCAGATATTATACAAGTGGCTTTGCCATCAAGCTAGAGAAGTAAAATTGAGCCGATAGGAGAAAGTGCAACTTGAAGAACAGTTTTTTAAAATTCTTGATAAAAGGGGATTATATGGTCAATAACTGAGTAGAGGAGTTCAAAAGAAAACAGCAAATACAAGTTAGAACATAGGTCGCAAAGCGAAAGTCCCAATTGGTCAGATTTGAGACCTCGATGAGAAAGAAATTTCTGAAGACAATTGTTGGAGCAACATTCCAACGCAAAACATGCGAAAATTCCATTAGAATAGACTAATACAAAAGACGAATAAAATATAAAGTAATAGACGGCAATGGATGAGTGTTGAAGGAAAATAAAGAACTTTACAGGATAGATATGCAGACTGAAACGAAATGAAAAAATTACGAAGTTACAAAACAAACACTTCTGCGGTGGATGGACTAAGGATGATCTCCTATTCCTACGAGGAGGCTATAGGTACCTTAGGAGGCCTACCGAAATTGTTCCAAGTAGAACCAACCATAAAGGATGCAATGTTGACACTAACGCCTTACTAAAGTAATTGCCACCAATTAGAGGAATACCCTTAGCCAAAACGTTCCGTATGTTGAAGCCTTTACAAACTCTACCTGACCATTGAGTAGTTGAAAAGGTATTTGCCACTCAATCTGTCACCATACACGCAACATGGGAGACAAGAAAGGTGAAGTCTTGGGCACAAAGGCTACTGCACCCTATCAGTTAAAGCAGAATTCTACGTCAAAGATATCGCTTAACGAAACGCCAATAGATACAAACAAGATAAAGACAAATATCACCCAAAAATTAAAAATCGGCTAGGAGGATCAACACCACTCCACGCACTCCAATCGAAATATAGAAGTTTCCAAAACGCAGCATTTTGGCGACATCCGAATTTGAAGTCAGATGAGTAGGACGTTTCAATCCGATCACGGAACCAAAAAATTAGGCGATAGCTTAAATAGTTCATTCAAGCGCCTCGAAAATCAGCACAACAGATAACAGCTATGTAGCACTAGCAGATCGGATTTGTAGATTAGATTTCGAGGGGAAATATACATGGAAATGCGCCAAAAGACAACGGATGTAAATGTTACGATCGGACCGACCTAGGCGTACCTCAATCAAAAAATGTAATGCAAAATTAGCACTTAAGAAGCTTTAAATAAAAGCAAAAGCTAAGATCAAAAACAATTGGACATCTTTCCTTAAAAGAAAAGTGAAACACATAGTCACGACAAAATCCAACTAGCAACCGCAACTAGGCAGGTTATGAGCAAATTGAACAAGAAACTGAGACACAATATCGCCGTCCCAATCCATAAACCTCGTGTTCACAGATATCGACTCCAGAGCCTGTTCAACTGTTCGCACACACTGAACTGGATGCTCCTTGAAAAAGGCCTAACACCAGAGACAACATAGTCAGTCTAGCGATCAGGAAAAACGTCAGGTATAAAGACAACTCGAACTCACATCAACCTCCTCGTAGTCGGCCTTGGTGCAAAAGCCTTTGCAGCACGCCTAAGGCATAAACAGACCACGTGACTTCAGGTGCAAAGTGCCGCACCGAGTTGCAATGCATAAAGCACAATAGGCAATCAACTTGGCGAATATGAGGTCAACAGATCGCTTCATTGACAAACATCAAAACATCTCACACCAACCTCTGAATTTCGAATTAAGTAGGTCACAGCCAACACCGACGTAGCCACACCCGTCACCCGCCCCCTGACAACTTCCCACACGATCC